CGATTTCTTAATCTCAAGAAATTGCAATTTTAAGATTTGCATTCAGGTGATGCAATTCTTTTGACCGCCACTGTATAAGAATAAATTAACCTAAGATTTTACACCTTGGTTTGATGCTGTAATCCCAAAAAAGCGAATGATATTACAATGAAATTCAACTTCCCGTTGAAGCTCGAGCTAAATAATATAAATAAAAATTTTAACTTGATATACAAATGATTTTATACTTAACAGACTGAAATAGAGACCTATACTCGTTTTTATTTATTGTAAATTACCTCATTAATTATTTTTTTAACAGTGGCGTTGTTAAAATTGTGAAACGCAAGGTACTGCTTTGAACTTTTCCAATTTGCACGATAGACATTTTCAAAGCTACCTGTACCAATCTCTTGAAAATTGCTAAAATGTTGTATTCATAGTATTTGATTTTATTACTTGAAATATATTCTTCAATCTTCTCATTTGAATTATTGGCAGTTTGCATTTTGAATATATATATATTTTTTTTTTAATTGAAAAAATTTTTTCTGGAGAAAAAATATGTACTCAGTAGATCATGCAACATTTATTAAATTTCTAAGCCACCCCGCTCACCTTATTGAGTCAATTGTATAACAAATTGAAAGACAAATAAAATGCGTTGCAACTGAAGCGAATTTAGAAATTAAACAATTGCTATTGCAAAAAAAAATAATAATTATAATAACTGAATTATAAAAAATAATTAACTAACAAAAAAAAAAGAGTATCGATGCATTTAACGCTGGCGTCTAAAAAATAAAAAACAACGAAAAAGAATACTTTTAAACCAATTAGAAGGAAGGTAGATCTACATTTGAAAAGGTATGAAGATTCCATTTTCATAGAACTCTTGGCATTAGACGACAATACTAATCACGCTTCATACCTTCTTAATTTTTTCCAGCAAGATATAAAGCATGCAGGAGTATGTGGAAGTTCGGCCAAACTTCCACAAAAAATTAAGGCGCATATATGCCAGAAGTTATGTATACATGTGAACGAGCAAAGTAAAATACTCACTATGGGCTCTTGTATTTAGGAAAGTGAGATGAATGATAAGACCGAGATGCCTGATCTTCTGACAAGCTTAAAAAGTTTCTTACTGGTGGAGACATTATTCTTAATGTTTAATTCCTGACGAGGGAGTGAACGATATTTTCGAAGTAACGATATTTAATACTAAAATCAATCGAGTTTCTCCCGTCATCTAGATCGTTTTCAAGATATAGATTCAACCAGTTTGGCTTTATATAGGTTTGGTTCGTAGCTGATAGTGTCATAATCAATAACTTAAGTACAACAAATACTTCGAAATAAAGGGTGCTGAAAGAATGGAACACAAGACAAAATTTTTAGTCATTTTCCCAGACAGCCCCAACATATCAATGGTGGTGAAAAGGGAATCTATGTTATCATGTATCCTCCAACTGAAACGGTGTCAGAGGTACTAAGTAAAAATAATTAGTATTCGTATCATGTAACGATAATAAAGCATCCTAATCGGTATCACTCTGGACGTAACACATTTTTTACCTAAGCCAAATATCACTATAAAAACGTAACACTATTTCTGAAATTAATACACCTGCCTCTACTTCTACTTCCGCTACAGCAACTGGAAATGAGACACTCACGTTGGCGGACGAAATAAAAAAAATAACACTGAAGCCCTATCTCATTTTGCGAGGATAGAACTTAGGGTTTAACGAGATGGCTTTCAAATTTAGAAAATGAGGAGATTAGTGGTTCGAACTTCCTTGACATGACCAAGCAAGATTTTCAAGATTATGGTATGAAAGGTGGACCCGCTATAACTCTCGCGTAGTTCGCTAAGGAGTTTAAGGAGAAGATGTTGCGCTCGTTCTCCTCATACAAGAATAAGAAAGATTTGAGTGAGGTACTACGCAAGTATGAAATTGACTGCAATGATATAAAAAAGATTTCACCCTTCGAACCAGGTAATAGACGGTATATTTTTTCTTCACTCGTTAGAGAGCTACTTTATCTGAACTGTTTATTTTTATAGAAACGGAAAAATTAGTGATGACGACGAAGAGTTTTGGTATTGCATAGTTTAGATTAAATGAAAAATTAGAATCATAGGTCCCGCATAATTAAGTAACGAGGTTGTGTTGTTCATATATCAAATCAATATTGCTTTCCGCTATATGTATTGTCAAGAGAATTGTTAATATGAGAATGTTTCTTGAGCCACAGTTCGAAGTTGTATTATACGTAGAACTTATTTGCATCCCAAAGGAAAGCAAAACCAGGAGGCCTTGAACATTATGCAGAATGTGATGCAACTCAAAAGCTCCTACCACACGTATAGGAGAAAACGAAAGGCGTCTGAAGAATTTTTAGGATGATTTCGATTACCTTTATGGGATTGTCACAACAGGTGAGATTTTTTTTTGCCACGGTTGCGTAATATAAGATGTTACTAACTCTTGTCTATGTTATTCTTTATCATGTATATGCCAGTGAGAATTTATTGCATGAAAGCCGATTATTACATCGACCTTACTGAGGATATTTTGGAAAAAGATGCTGAACTTCGCTTAGGTGTGAAAAAAGTTATGGAAGTGATTGTGGGTTTGTTGAAGGATAGGGTAGAAGTTGATGACGCAACAGATCGCAAGCGAGCTAGAACAAAAAAATTTATTAAGGAATAAATCGCCCGTAAGACGCTTCGCATGTATATTAGTATAGACATTATGTATTACGGGCAAAGTTCCGACTTTGTATTTATTTTTATTTCTGTATTAAAAAAATTTTTTCTTGGCAATTTTCCAGGACATGATGTCTCGGAAATGCAAATGATTCATTTTTGATTAAGGAGATGGCGTTTTTTGATTATAGAAGTTGGTTGTACAAATCGTTATGACTTTTTTGATTATTCAGAAAAAAATTGAGACTTTTTTGATTATTTGGAAAAATTGTAACTTATTATTCGAAAAAATTCGTGACTTGTAATCATACAAAAAAAGTCAATAAAATTTATTGATAACAATGAAAAAAGTTAATTCACGCATAAAATTTATTGAACAAAATATGTATTATATCTATACTCTATTGACTATTACTGGTATTTTAATCTAACGAATTTTATAATTTCAAAGTAAAACATCACATATCATCACCACAATGCAAATATTTTCCAAATTCTATACTTTCAACCATGATTTCTCTTGCATTTTCTAGAGTTATATTATTATTGTAATCTTCTTGAATTAATCTGCTTGTCACTTCTGGTATCAAAACTTCATATATATAATCCATCGGCTTTAATGGAAATGCTTTAAGTGGTATAAGAATATCCGAAGTAATGAATAAATCTATCAAAGCATTAGCAATAAAATATAATCCTTTAGATCCATAATATCCAACCTATAAATTAATATGATTTAATAAAGTTTTTAAACAAATTAATATAAAAAAAATTAATTTTGAAATTAATACCTGAAATATCTCACATCTATTAAAAAGTATCGTTGGTGATTTAGCCTTATTATATCCAATTTCTTGATAAATTGAGAAGGCAATTTCTCGGTAATAACTTGCTAAGTTTCCATTGATAATTTCTAAAATTTCATTTTTAAATATTTGAATACATGAAACTAATTGATTAAAATCAATAAATTCTGGATATCCCTTTAATAAACCATTTGGAATAATATGTAACTCAGCATGATGCATAACACAAAATGAATAATGATCATATTCTGTGATAGGGTTGTTTTACAAGGATAATAATTTGATTTGTAGTTTTTCTAGTAAAATATTAGGTAATTTCTCATCACAATATGAATACGAATTTCCATGTACCACCACATTATTATACTGAGATTCAACATTATCATAAATTATTGGTGGTTGAGAAAAATTTTGAAAACCACAATTATCTGTAATAGCCACATTATTTTGTTGATTATTTACATTTAAAATAAATATTATTATTATTATTAATCATAAATTAAAAATATTTTACTAAATATTCATAAAATTCATAAAATTTACCGAATGAATTATAATTTTGTTTAATATTATGAGTACGTTTAATTTTCCTCTACTGTATCGAAAAGATATCACTTGATAATTTTTTGTATGGATTAAATTTATTAGGTTTTCTTGGTTTAGAAGATAATTTTGGTGGTGCTCCTATTTTTGACCTTGATTTATCATTTAATTCAAGTGGTCTAAATGGATCTTTAATATTTTGAATTACATGATTTGTTGTATAAAAAACTTTATTTCCTATTAAAATAAAGGTTAATTTAATTCAATATTCTTAATCATTATTAAATTAATATAATACATTACCAAGAATTCCATATAATCAATCTATTTCTTGAAAAGAATTTTCTATTGTATCTTGATAAATGATGTTATTTTTGGCAGATGAAGGAACAACACATTCTTTATTTCAAAAATATTGGACTAATTCATACTTTGTTTTATCTATAACATTTATAAATTCTTTTTCCATTGCATTTTTGAATAAAGTGGTTGCATAATAATATCTGCACTTATTTCATAAAGAACCATTCCAAATGTACTCACAACATACTAAGAACCAAAGTGTCCAACCAAATTACTGTTTGCAGCACGCCAGTTGCCAACTTGCGTAATAATTCTTGCTTGTCTCTGGCCTATATGACATTTCATAACTACGGTACATAACAGGAAAGCGAATTTCAACAAAACAACGCTTGATAATGGCTTAGAAAGTTACATACCGGTATAAGCACTCACTGGCATTGATATCTCAAGCCGACCTTCGATAAGACTCATACGATATTGTGGGTTGGCGTCTGCAATTTCATTAAAGCGTTTGTGATCACAATTTGGAATAAATACTCGTGATAAGGAAGACATTTTCAAAAAAAAAATTGACGAGAAATATATTAAAATAAAGTTTGTATGAAAAAGAAAATATTTTACACCATTTTCTGTATCACAAATACTTGAAGCTCAGCCACGTCACTGTGATGTAATCACTGGGGCTGATATTATGGCGCATCAGCCTCTCAATTGATACAAAATTTCGCTTTTCTCACTTAATCTACCGAGTTTTTTTTTTTTCTTTAAAATCCATTTTCTCTGACATAAATGAAAATTCGCTTTTAACAGAATTAAATGCTCGCAGATAGGTCATAACCCGAATTCTGAAAAAAAAATTTTTTTTGAAGTAGTATCATTTTGATAATATAAACGAGATAAAGACGAGGGTGGAAAAAATTTTGACTACGAAATATCAATCAATATACCGGGTCACTACTTCTAGTATTAGTATTATTTCCTTTTTTTTTGTAAAAATCATTTGAATTTTAAAAGTTATCCGTTTGTATTATTATCCTTGACAAGTATTCTTGAATTTGATCAATGAAATTATCTATAAAGAATAAACCAACGACTTCAAACTAATTAGAGTTGTTTGACCCAACTCGAATTTTTTCTCGAGTCAGGACTATCATTGAAATGACACGAGTCCTAATTCAAAAAAAAAACCGTCGGGTCAGGGTCACGTTTTTGCTTGACCCGAGTTAATCTAATTTAAACAGTATCGACTTTTTTTTTGTTACGTTGCGCAACTTTAATTTGTACCTATCGATGATTACAGTTTATCGATTATTAAACATTAACTAATACATTAACACATTTTTATAAAGCAACAAGTGTTCCAGTAGAACAAGTTTTTTCTGGCGGAACCGATCTGATATAAAAGATGTGGTCATAAAGCTAATACAATTCGTGTCTGTGTGTGCTTGTAATGGTGGGAAAAAGATGTAAAAAAAAAAAGAATTAGGATTATTGCTCACAAAATAATAAATTTTAAAAATAAAATTTTATAAGACTTTTTTATTTTCGGCATTATTATTACCCTTGAAAATTCGAGTCGATTCCGAGTCGAATTCAGGTTCTGTAGATATTAACGCGTTCGAGTTCGAATAAGCCTTAAACCCGACCCGACCCGACCCGACCCTTACGGAGCTACTCCTCCTTACTTAAAGAATAAATTTATGGTTTCAAAATTCATATTGTCTTTCTTAAAGGTTAAAATGATAACTTCAAAACTTGTAACTCTTCACTTCCTTTTTTCTCAAGGAATAAAATAATTATTTCAATATTTGTAACTTTTTGTTAAAAGATAAAAATAAAATTCCATTCTGGTCTTTTATTAGACGTCTCAAAAGGAAAGCGGGTCGAGAAAAAAAATATTTCGTCTGGGTTGTCCTTTCAAATTGATTAACGAAAACGTTTCCTATATCTTCATTTCTAACATAATGAACCTCGGATAAATAAATGAATATGATTATCTTTTTCATTTTTCATTTTTTTTAAACTTATTTAAGAAAAATGCTATCATAAATTACGATTATGACAAATCAAATATAGATAATGAATTGAACGAGTTATAAAAACAAATTCTTTAATCACAAATCAAAATCATCTGGAAGATGTATTTTTTTTTTATAAGGACAGCAAATATGGATTGAGGAAAGATCTCAGCAGTAAGTTATGTTTCTCGTTTTTTATATGTTGAATGTGGTAATTGGTTAAATAATGTCAAAAGGATATTTTTTTAAAAAAAAATTTTAATGTATAATCTGTTCATTCGCTTAAAAGATTTGCTCAAAAATTGTTACATTGCAAAGGTAATATTATTTTAAGAAAATTTTGTATTCCAAAACGGATTTGATCCTATAAATAAATTTCTTTGGAGACTACTTTACTAACATTACTACTATTTTCGTTAAAGAAAAGGTTAAAAGATTATATTGAGGAATTCACTAAGGAAATCACCTTCTGAGACTATAAATCATATTCTCAAAAGGTCCATGTAATCGGATATGTGTGGGAAGTTTGCTATTAAAATCACGTTAGGAATCATATGATTTACTATGTTCGTAACTCGATTTTAATAGCAAACCTCCCATGTACATTAGCTCCACCTTTTGTTTTTACAATCGACTTACTTACGAATGCGGTTCGATCATATTGTAACATTGTTTAATAAATTGGCAAAGTTTAACTTTCTGCACCTTTTAATAAAGGTTATCATAATCGAGAATTTTATTTTCCAGTTGAAAGAACCAATTGGTTAATCAGTATAAAATTTCAATTTATTATATTTTGAAAAGTATTAATAATGATACTTTAGTAATTTCTAAAGAAAAACGAATTGATGATTTAGGTTGTGTGGATCTTCACAAGTCTAGAGGCTTGCCAAAAATAAAGTGATGTGTTCGTACAAAGAATACTTGGACTTCTACCAAATGAGAATATAATTAAACTTCCATATCATCGTAGTTGTCAGTTATAATCAAGTAATTAAATGGTGATAGGAAAATATCAAAAATAGCTTCATAAAACACTCCGTAATACCTTGCCCTCAGGATACGATAAGTCGACACCGAGGTGCCAGACACGTCCGTTGTTGTTTGACTCTACTCCTACAGATGATACGCTATCATCAAACGTGATACAGAAGGTTCGAAATACAAATACGCATAATGTTCTTGAATTTTGGTCAGTATATACTTTAGGTCATCGTGCTTACTCATTTAAAAAGAAATTTGTCCGTCAATATGACGCGATCAATAGATTACATAATTTGTTAGCAGAAGGTCGTAATACATTTTATCTTCCTTCACTTTCAAATATCAACGGTAAAAAAATGAAAAGTTCAATATGATATTGCTTCTTGACTCCTTAAATGATTTTGTAATATGTGTCAATGGACAGTATGTAAACGTTTCCTCAATGTAGGTAGGTATCCACGCTGTTTCGTATGACTGGCAAAAATAAGTAATCTTATTTGACACACCTTTTAAATATTTACTGAACTTGCAATCTCTCTTGAATCCTTGAAAATATATTAAAAAAGGTATGAAACATGAAATTTGTTTGACAATAATAAAAAGAAAAGCTTCATTTGTAATATTATTTAAGGGTTCATTAAATAAATATTTATATCATTATCGGAATTATTTACCGTATATAAAAAATAGATTATGTTGAAATTTGCCATTCAATTGATTCTTTTGTCGCAATTGAAAAAATTAGTTTGATTTCTCATCACAATTGAAGAATTGTACGTTGTGGATCCCTCATGCAATAATTTGATTCTTGCAAGTGAGAAACTCAAGGAATTATAGTTATAAAAAATTAGAAATAAATTCACAAATTATATATTTTCCTTTGATAGCGCTTAAAAGATAGTTTTATCATGTTAAATTTCTTAAATGGGATTCTTCAAATCTTGTTTAAGAAATTATGGGATATAGAGGGTACATTTAGAGAGGTCTGACCATATTTATTTTTTTTATGACAATTAGCATAAATCGCTATTTAAATCATTTCACTGCTTATTTAATTATGCCAAGTTATCTTTTCTTTTGAAATGAAGCTTAAAACAAATTAAAGCAAATTTATTTAACAGTGTGAAGCTCATAGCACAGAAACCCAAAGACATTTAGATAATAATGCAATTATTATTAAAATTATTTTTATATTAATCGAGAAAATGAAATAGGCCGTCGGCGATCTGCACCGATTGTAGTTCTTGGTTCGACAATAAAGCAACAATTTGATTATCGTAGCTATAGAACCAAGTTATAGATAGGTACAATAAAACATCCTTTACAGTAATACCGTTTGGGATTGCTATATCGTTTGGTGTCGTTAGCGTCCGTAAAGTAAATTCTAGCATTTGGTGAAAAAAATAGTTTCTATTCTCAAAACGACGTTTCCGACTAGATCAACGCTCATAGGCAATTCCTATGATTGGCTATTACAGTATAAAGTACTCTTTCAGAAAATGGTGTTACATTTAGTAAAAAAAAATTTTGCTTACCGGTTGATTCTTTGGAACGTTAAATAACTGCTTGCAAAAAATAATCCAAAATAATCCGGGCTTTAAAAGGGTTAACTTAGAGGTGACATACTATAGTAACGAAGCTTAAAGGTCTTTATATTGCTATAAACTTGTTTTAAACTTCTAAAATCCAAAAGAAAGTTTTAAAACTTTGTATTTTAAAATAAATTGAAATAATTCCTGTATAATATGAAAAGAATTAAACCATCAAATAACTAATGATTTATTACATTTTAAATTGCTTTCATCGCTTTCACGAAAGATATAAAATATTAGTTATATTGTCGATCGTACTTATGTATGAGATCAACACAAAGTGTCGATGTTGCCAAATTTAAATTCATATCGATAACACGCGAAGTTAATTTTTTTTCGCTTATTATATAGATCACTCTGATTAATTAACTGACTGTCATCCACTATCTGTCACTTGAAATACTGCGATTTACTCAAAAAATCTTACCTCGCAATATTTGAAAGTGTTATATTAGAAAGATTAGAAAGCGAAAAAACCTCCTAAATACGTATATTTTGATAATTAAACCACGAGTAAAAAAGCGGAGTTTGTCTACGAAATCTCTAACTCTGTTACAAAAGCTTTCATACCTAAAATAAAAATCAAGTGATATCGCGATATAAAAATTTTATAGTTACATAAAAAATTTTTTTCACAAGATCAACAAAATTTTTTTTTTTAAAAAAAATGTATCGGGGATAGTGAGAAAAAAAAAAACAAATCTTCCATTGCTATTGTTGCTATTGCAAGTTATAATTAAAATTATACACTCTCAATGGTATGCTAATGAAAGTTATATTCCCTAAAAATATGAAATTTTTTTTAATTTTCAAGGAAAAATAGTAATAGATCCATACGTACTCATTTTATATCAACACAAAATCGTCATGATAGTTTACATGGCAGCGTTATTTTTTTTCCATTGATAAAATATTTCTAATTAAATTTTTCGATAAGTTTATTGATGAATATCTCACATGACTTTCTTGAAATCTTGAATCGTTTTTTATGGGGGGTACCTTGTAGCGAAATTGTTGACATTAGTAAATGGGAGGTTTGCTATTAAAATCAAATACGAACATAGTAAATTATATGGTCCGTTACATGATTTTAATAACAAATGCATTCCCAATGAACTGGGAATCTTCGACGTTCAAATTTGTCTTTAAGTGAAGGTAAGAATAATAGATACCACATTCCATAAATTCGCTGAAAAAAAATAAATGAATAAATAAACAGAAACTCATTTTGCAAATGATATCATTAATGGTACAGGGTGGAGTGTCAACAAACACAGGTATATACATACTACTAGCTGAAGGATTTTCGTAATAAACTTTTTAAAAATTACCCTCACAATTCTTCACGTTTTCATTTCTGACAATAGGTTATTGTTCTTTGAACATGCTACAAGTAATACATGAAAGCGAATAGGTTTCTTTAATTCATAAATAATTTAAAATTTTATTGATAAAAAGACTTTTGTTCGTACAAATCAAAAAACTGATTATAATACGGAATATTATTGAAGGGTCCATTAAATAAATATTACTCATCGTTATCAGTATTAAGGTGATTTAATTCTTCGTCGCAATTAAAGAAATAATTGTTGCAGATCCCTTTCCCAAGCGAGTAACTTTTTCACTAAAAAGGTACGTGAAAAAAATATTCAGTAAAAAAAAAAAGCATTCCTATAACAACCAAGGTTGATTTGTCTTCACAAAGAAAAAATAGTAAGAGAGGCATTTCAATACAATAGGGGTCACGAACGATCCTCACACATTTCCTTTAGTAGTCACACTTCATTTACTTCAGTTATACCAATCATTTCTAATTGATGTTATCGAATGGGTTGTTTTACTAATATAATTAAAAATAATTAAGTAAAATAAACTTCACATTGTTTTTATTGACTAATGCGGAGAATATGGTAATATTTCGCAGGTGACCTCCGAATTATCTGATGATAATTATTCACGATATTCAATTTGTTATCGAATTTTTCTGTTCTTGAAAGGTTCAGATTTCTTTTTTAAAAGTGTGCAAAAAACGAAAGAAACAGTTCTTCAATATCAATAATATCGTTATTGGTTTTTAATAACGATTTAAAAATTCTTCATGTTCATTAATATTTGCATTTTGAGTATTTAGAGTAGTCGAAGGAAAGGTTTAAAGAAATGAAGCTGGTGAGCAAGTAGACCAACTTTTGAATCACCTCCTATAGTCACAAACCTCTTCTTTTATTATCTGGTATGAAACGCTATGATATACCGTTCCCTGTTTACTAATCGTTCGCTCGTGTACTACACATCGATATTTTACTGAAGTTACTATCGAAGTTGAGCATTTAAAATTCGTACTAGTAATTATTTATTAATAAATTTATTTAATCTTGCACAATTTTAAACATTAAAAGGATTTAATTAAATATTAAAAAGTATTTGTAACTATAAATACATATATACTAATTAAAATAGAAGTTATCTTTTTGAAAATGGCATTCAATAAACATTGGCGCCTTTTCTTTATTGTAATTATTAGAAAGTAAATTGGTTGATAATTCTTGTGATTCAAGATTCGTAATTTGAGAATTCTGTAATGGTTGTATATTATAATCTTGAATTTGTTGCATAGATCCATTATCGGTGTTGTTTTAATTTGAGTTCCTTGATAATCTTGTATATTATAAGTGAAAATAATATGTCGCAATGTATCCATTTTTTGTGTTCATTTGATACTTTATATTTTCGTACTGCATCAACACTTTGATGCCCTGTTATTTTCATAATAACCTGTTCTTCTGCATTTACACTTTGCATTAATTGTGCAGATGTCATTCGTCCATAATGGTTAGTCAGTAAGCCATCAACCTCAATACCTGATTTATGAACAAGTTCTTTCATAAATCCAGATAAATTATTTCGACCAAAGTGTTGTTTTACGATACCAGATTCCAGTTTCTTCCCTATTAATTAGAAATTTGTATATAGTAAAATTACATTGTGGATTTGTCTGTAAATAAAAATCTGGTTCTGCATCTAATGACCTTTTTCAAAATACAATTGATAATCATAACATGGTTCTCTAGAATTAGATAAATCAGTTGGAATTGAAAAAAAAAAATACCCTTTTAATAAGAGTGTCTGGAGTTGATATTGAAGTTGCAATATTTTGTTGAGTTAAAGCAGCAGACCCTTTTACTTCTCCAAAACTTTTATCTTGAAGCATTTCATTTTACCATCAAGAACTCTTGTTAAACAGGAAACTGATGACGATCGCGCAATTAATCCCATGTATAATTGGAAATCCATCAAATATCGATTAATTCCATCAACAGCCTGTCTTATTGATAATGCATTATATTCAGTTCCATCTTTTTTTACATAGTAGCAATATAACCTGCCAATTGATTTTCTAGTATAGATATATCCATAAGATGCAATTGAATTTTATATTGCTCCTCTTGTAGCCAATTTTTTGTTGCTTCCAGTATTTTGAACACGTGATTTTTTGATAATATGAAATTGCTTTCTCAATTTCAATATTTTAGATATTTTAGGCTGTAAATGTGGATTATTTATTGTGTGATTTCAATTGAGAAAGAGAGAAAATTTGTAAAAAAAATTGATTACTAACGATATTGTTAGTAACACGTGATCAATCATTTTACTAAACCATGAAATATACTGTATTAGTTATTTAACGTTGATAGACCTGGAATCGTCTCAAAACCAAGCTAACAAAATCAAATAACTTAATATCACAATTATCTAAAAGGCCTTTTCTAAGAGAAATTAACGATTAATAAACAAAATAATTTATTATCACGATTCACTTGTGTAGTAGGTTATCACGATCAAATCCTATGATGAAGACAAGAAGAAGGTTGAAAGTGTAAAGTAGTAACTTTATTAACTTGTAGAATTTATAAGTCTAGTCCCAAGACTTATCTCAATCTCTGAGCAAAAACTCTCGACTCAAGGTCAACTTACAGGTTTATTTATATTGCTAACTAGTACTATACTACGCTTTTTGATAAGTATAAATGATACATAATATAATATAAGTAATAAAAAGAAGACTATATAATATTTATATTAAAAAGTAAATTATTCGATACATGTATTATAAAGTCGATCAAACGATACATGTATTACATGTTTAACATGCATCACTTTCATGATTTTCGGCGCAGTTGAAGATCATCTGAGGCGCAGTATGATTTGCGACTAACAACGCCGATCTCACAGGGATCAAGTCTCAGCCGTGATTCCTGATGATATCTCTGATTTCGCGGTAAATAACTAATACGTTTCGGATAAAAAACGGAAATCATGTCCATAATTTTCTCACGTAAATTCAATTGCGCCGGATGAGATCCAAAGTAAATTAAACAATGTACATTTTGGTACAATTGTAAAATTGCGGCAGCGGTTTTTCCAAGGCTCTTGAAGCTATTCAAAGATGAGCTGATGGAGAATTCCATCCCTTGTTGACACATTTTGTTAATTGATAAATTTTTTTACGATTTTTTGATCAAATTTAATATTTTTGAGGTTGTTTGTTTTTGGAGCATTAATTTAGTAAGCGATTTTTTTTTAAAAAAAAGATGAGACAACGTGAAGTAAAGTTTAACCTTTCATCAAATGTCTTCAATTTATATTTATTTAAAATCAATAGAATCTTTGGAGTTCATTTAAAACCATGGGGCATAATTTGCACGGCAATTGTCGAAAACTTGGACTAATTAAACGAGTTGGGCGCAAATTTTGTTTAATCAAATATTTTTTTAGGGGCCATTCAATCACTAACAATATGAAACAAGTTTATCGGATAATCGAAATGAAGTTACAAATTGTTGTTGATTTTTTGTACCCGAGCCGATATTTTTGGTGTTACTTGATTTGGGACGGGCCCCCAAAGAAATATTTCCTCCTTTTTTTTTTTAGGAATATGGACGGGCATTCCTCACGAATTTTTTTTATTAAAAAAAAAAAAAATCAAGGGAACTGCTAATTTTCAAAAAAATTAAAAATTAAAATTGATAAAGTTAACCAAAAAAGGGTAAGTTGATGCAAAAGAAAAAAAGCCCCTTTATATTTATTTATTTTTTTTTTTTTTATTTCAGAAAAGTGATGTTCAATATCATATGAGATTCACCCCTTATTTTTTTGCATTTTTTGCATTGTTGTCGATCGTTTTAAAATAAAGGGGCTAACATGTTGTGCAAGGAAACATTATCGTTATTTTATGTATCCAATTTGGTGTCAATGATTAACATTAATTCAAGTATAAAAAGGAAATCTATAGTAAAAAAAAAAAAAAATGGATTTTCTGAATAAAAAAAAATTAATATACGAATAACTGAGTAAAATTAACAGAAATATTAATGAAGTCTAATAAAAATTCGATGAATGTCAAAATTTCGTAGCATAACGTCTCAAATATTATAGGTTTTTCATATTATATTATATTGGATATATATTAAAAAAGGCTTGATTTAACTTTTTGTTTATCATTCTCCAAAAAAAAATTAACAGTTTATAAAGCAAATGGCTTATTTAGCTTTTTAGTTATCAGCCTAAAAAGATCTTTAGTTGACAGAGTTTTGTAAGAATACTTAAAATTATACTTATAAATTTCTACAGTTAATAAAATATTATTCTACACTTCGACCTTCTTCTTGTCTTCTAGTTCTATTTAAGTACAATTCTAAAAAAAATAAAAAAAATAAATAATAAAAAAGAAACTTAAAATCAAAAAAAAAAAATCAACATCCTGCCGGGGGATACATCTTTTTCAGAACCAAAATGATAATTAATCGTCTAATCATCACCGACCTCTGATTGTAAATATCCAAATGAATGTTAATTTTTTTTCGGTAAGCCTTGTGATACAGTTTTTGTCTGGTATTTTAAAATGTTGCTAAAGTATCCATTTCAAAATTGTTTTTTGCTTGCTCTGCCATTTTTGATGCACAAATATACCAATAATTGTAAATTTGTAAAAATGCAATTATACAACCATGTAAACATATTGTAATCGGAGAACGGTGTAAGATTTGCAAAAGTGCTTAAAGTATTTTCAGCGCAAATTCTAGATCAGTTGGATAATAACTTTATCTAGATAAGCGATATCCATATATTCTTTTATTTAGAAAAAAAAAAAATTTTAATTGTCCGCGATAATAATGAATGTACCTGTTATTAGGATCACCATCATATCAGTTATTGAAAAGAAATTGACAGTACCCAATCGTGATGGTGAAAAGAATAAACAAATTCGTACTCCATTAGAAGAAGTAACGAGATCTAAAAGAACCTACAAATTATCACATTGTTAGAAGGAAAGTAAATATCGAGAATTATCTGGTGAAATCATTTTCTAGCCTCATATGCAACCCTTCTTTAATAAATTCATTAATTTTCTTTTCTCTTAGCATATTCAGTTAAAATATCAACCGCCCAATTTTAATAATCAAACCATCAGAAAAGATATCTAAAAGAAATCACAATGATAAGAAAAATCCAACAATAACAAATTATCTTTGCGTTTCTTAAAAGATCTTTATACAGATCTTGAGCATTTCTTTTATCTTAAAATATTTTGATGTTTTGACGGTTTTGACGGGAATTATTCTGAACGATTTTGAGAAAGGAAATTTTCAAAAAAGAAATTTAATGAAGATTTTTAGAGACATAATTAAAAACGGGACTAATTATATTTATTTTATAACATTGAAAACTTTATTTTTTAATTGAAGACACGAGAAAAGGTAATAATAAACGATTCCTTTATAAATTCTGAACTTTAGAGATAATTTCTACAATGAGCTTAAGAGAGAATTATACATATATTAATTACTAATTTTATAATAAAGATTATAAGTAAGATAATTATAATTACTCTATCTAATAAGTTTCTAATTGTCCGAGACAAAGCAATGCAATGTCGTTCTGTCCTGCATATTGATCAACCAATAGAATACTGCGTTGCTGTTCACAAAATTGAACATTAAAAAAAATCGCACAATAAAAAATTGAAAAATAAATTATTGATTTGTATTATAAGTTCTGTTATGCTTCGGACCAGAACGGTTACCGTTCCCTAGTTATTACAACAAATATGACTAATAATACAAATATTGATCACTACAATCCATTAGTAGATGTAAACAAACGTGTGTTTGTTATATTTGGAAAATGGAATGTGACGCTTAGTTAGCTCACGAAATGAATTATTTGTATAACTTTGCCACAAAATTTTGGTATATTTGCGTCATTGAAGCAAAATTTATTATAAATTAACTATTGTAATACTTTAAAGTTAAAATTCAAGAATAAATTTAAGGAAATCGACAATTTTGTTTACTGTGTTACCTTTATCATGTTTAAAATTCAACTTTCACACCAATCGGTCCAACCGATTTAATTCGATTATTCGGTTTGATTCGATTTTACATAAGCCCGTCGGATTTTTTTTGGCTTAGACCTAAAACCGGTTTTCGAAAACCAAACCGGTTCCAACCTCTACTTGGTCATGTTTGTCAGATTAATCATCTTGGTCACGAGATAATTCTTAGTTAAAAAAGATATTAGAAAAATTTGTGATTTCATATTTGATACTAACACCGAATATTACCTATAAATTTATTTCGTAACATTCATTCTTCATGAAACATTTACGATTAAATTTGTTAAGTACCAACTTGTGTAGAAATTGCAATAGTTTGCTGCTTGCTTACAAAGATCATCGTTACGTAAACAAAAACATAAAATGTTGTAAGAAATGTTGTAAGACATGTGGCTGTTGCATGAATATAAATAAAGGATGTAGTATCACTTATAATTATTGTTGTACCCAATTTAAATTTAGATTTAAATTTTAAATTTAAATTCAAATTCAAAATTAAATTCAACTTTTTTATTTTTTAAAAGAAAAAAAATAACTTCCTTGCTTCAATTGAAATTATGGTTTGCGAAAAATATATAATGCTTTTCTTTTTTATATTAAGTTATTTGTTCTTAAACGTTGAGTCATTTATGCCTACAGGACGTCAATCTCATTCAACCGTCCTTGTTAAAGACAAGATTTATTTTTTTGGTGGAGTAATGGATGATATAGAATGTTCAAATGAAGTGTTCTATCTTGATTTGTCTCAACAAATAAATTCAGAGTTTCCGCCATGGACCGACCTTACGTTAAACTCTGGATTAGATTTTAAAAGTTGTTGGACAACCGCCGTATTGAATGATGATACTATTTACCTGATTGGAGGAATAATCGAATATCAAAATAACGATTCATTTACCTCATTGGTGCATGCATTTAATCCAAATTTAGGACAATGGAATATACCTGCAATTCAAGGAAAAGCACCAGAAAGACGTAGAAATGTTCAAGCCGTTGCTGATGGCACCGGAAATATTTATGTTTTTGGTGGAAAATTTGATGAGTTATTAGGATCAAAATTTACTCAATTTTTCAATGATATGGTAATATTAAATGCTAATGATTTAACATGGTCATATGGTTCTACCGTCAACGCTCCTATGAAGCGAGATCTTTATACCGCGTCATTATTATCAGATGGCACGATTGTATACATTGGAGGTCGTGAACAAAATGCTGATTATACTCTACGTGAAGTGGATATTAATCAAATTAATCTTTATGACACTAATTTAGCTTCTTGGTCGATAGTGGTATGTACTATACTTTACACATCTTATTATAATCTTCATTGTAATTTATTAATTATATGAAATTTATTTAATTTATAAAAGCAAGCGATAAGTAATGATGTAGTAATTGATTCACGTTATTTGCATTCAGCTGTATTAGGTATAATATTTTATTTTATTTATTTTATTTTTTTTACTCGTAAATGTATATTAATTATCACATATATTATAATTAGTTTCTGATGGAAGAATCATTGTTTATGGTGGGGCAAGAAATGCAGCACAATCTAGATATGATAAAGTTTTTCCAGACTTGGTAGTTTTAAATACTCAAACATTCGAATGGACTGTACCGGAAGTATCATCAAATATTGATGAAGTTCCATCACTTAATGCTCATACTGCAAATTTATTCGAAAATTATATGATTGTGGCTTTTGGTAGGTCATTCTCACATTAATTTTTATTTTTAAATTTTATTACTAACCAAACCAAATTAACTTATAGGAAATATCACACGAACAAATAGTTTTCCATCAGCAGTTCATAATTCAAAAATTTATTTGTTGGATGTAAATAACTATACTTGGGTTAATGGTTTTGCCTCTTCTGCGTCAACTTCGGAAAATCAAACGGGTAAAATGAAAATTATGATTGGCACCATAAGTGGAATTCTTGGCGTCATTATTTTTACGGCGATTGGAATTATTGGTTATAAGATGTATCAAAAGCGAAAATTACGTGATGCTGAGAGTAATACTAAAGTTATATCCTAGATCAAAGTTTCTACAGATTTCAATTCTTCATGTCACTTCAACTTAATATTCTTTTTTTTTTATGGAAGAATCTCATATTGTAGAATAATTAATTTATTAATTAATAATGCTTTATTCTAAACTTTTAAAATAGTTTTTAAAAGATTTATACGTTAAAATAATTAAAAATATTCATTAAATTAATAAAAGTAACAAGCAAAATAATTGGATTCATTAAAACTAACATATTTTATTATTTTTGAAATTCCCAAATTTAATTTTGTTTTTTCAATAATATTTCTATGCCCGGCAAGAAGATCAAATTTCAATTTGATCAAATAATTAAAATAAAAAATTGCTGCAAAAACTTTGCTTGTTATTTTTGTTACTATTTTGCGATATATAATATTGAAATTAGATTTGAAATTTATAGAATTTCTTAATTTATAAATCTATTTGTATATCTTTTTTTCTACCCTTCTTGGTTATGATTCCTGCTTGCATTCCGTGTAAATGCTTGCGTGGTCAAATGCTTGCTTTCACAATTTCGGTACTGTGATTATAATGCGTGAACTGCAGTCATTATGATTGACTATAAATTTGTTTGTCGTCAGTCATGCTTTATTTCAATAGCATGCAAATATAAAAAAAAACACACAAATTTGTCGAGTTAAAGTTTTAGGTTTTTTTTTTTTTTTCTTTAAATGGGAATGATCTTCCCATAAAAATTTTTTAGCGAGTATTAAAAGCAAAGCTCTCATAACATACAATTAATTCGTCAATTTATTTGACATTAAAATAAAGGAATAATTAGCAAATTATTTACATTCTAATTTTTCTATATAAACTTTACTTTCAATGTTCAATTTTTTGTAAATTATGCACGATATGCATTATTCGTAATCCTCATAATTTTGTACTTTCTTTTTTGATACCATTTATAAATAAAAATTCCAATTGTTATAAAAATTGTGACTCCAAACATTCCACTTAATAAGCCAGTTACAACTCCCATTATATTCGAATTATCTGATTGACTTGCTGAATCAATTGAAGTATTCGGAGGATTTGGTAGCGTTCGATTTGAAGGTGCAATTTCAGGATTAAATTGATTAACCCAAGTATAGTTATTAATATCCAACAAATAAATCATTGAATTTTTATTCGCTAATGGAGGGGCATTTGCTTGTGTCATATTTCCTATAATACAATGACTTTAGTATTAAATCTTTAGATCCTATAAAAATTCATGTACAGTCACATACCAAAAGCAACAATCATGTAATTTCCAACCAAATTTGCCGTATGAAACACAAGTGATGGAACTTCACCAACATTTGATGTTATTTGTGGGTCAGTCCATTCAAATGGAGTCGTTTGAGTATTAAGTACTGCCAAGTCAGGAGTGGCTTTAACATCTAAAAATTCCGCAATATTTTTTGCTCCACCATAAATAATAATTCTTCCATTCGAAGCTAATAAGATATATATAATATTATGACGTTAAGAAATGTTTTGAAAAAGAATTTTTTTTCCTTGCAAAAATACGTTACCTAATGCGGCCGAATGACCAAAACGGGATTCAATTCTAGAATTACCTTTTGCTTGCTTAATGGAAATAAATGAATAAAAATTCAAAATTTATATAATTCCACGAATGACCGTAAAAATATACAGTACAAACCTCTGCCGACCAAGTTGCTAACTTTGTATCATAGATATTAATTTGATCAATATCTACGACATTTGTAATGATATCAGATTGTTCACGACCTCCAATGTATATAATCCTACCATCTGATAATAACGTCGCAGTATAAAGATCTCTTTTTAAAGGAGCATTGGCAATAGGATCATGTGACCAATTCATAACCTTAGTATTGAATATTGCAATATCATTGAAAAGTTGAATGATTTCTGATCCTAAGCTATTGTCGGTTTTTCCACCAAAAACATAAATTTTTCCAAAATTATCAGCAACAGCTTGAATATTTCTACGTCTTTCCGGTTCTTTTCCTTTAATTACAGGCGTATTCCATTTCCTTGATTTTGGGTCAAACGTATGTACCAGAGATGTAAATGTATCTTCATTTTTTTGATCTCGCGTCAATCCTCCGATCAGGTAAATAATCGTGTTATTATCTTTATTAGTTGATACAGTTGCTGCAAATGCGCTGCTAAACGGAATAGCAGATGAAGCAGTAATGTCTTTCCATGATGGAGTTGCCATATCAAATGGTTTTGATAAATCAAGGTAAAATACTTCTGTTAAGACATTACTTTTATCATCAATTCCACCTAAAAAATAAATCTTGTTTCCAATAAGGACAGTGGAATGAGCCAACCGTCCTACAGGAGTAAATGATTCATCTCCAAAAAACAGATAGCTTAATATGAGGATGTACCAATTAAGTGATTTATATTCTTTGCAAGTCATATTTTTATGTTTTTTTTAAATAAAAAAAAGAATTTGGTAATTAATTAATGAAGTTATAGAATTAAGTGAAGCAAATTGGTTCACTACTCTTGACTTAGCCAGTGGCTATTGGCAAGTAGCAATGCATCCTGATGATATTGAAAAAACTGCTTTTATCACAGTAAATGGATTATACGAATTCTTAGTCATGCCTTTCAGTTTAAACAATATATCTGGAACATTCCAAAAGCTCATGAATTGGGTTTTTAAAGATTTCCTTAGATTATTTATATCAGTCTATCTTGACAATATAATTATCTACACGAAAAGACCTTTTGAATTACATATTGATCACGTTAAACAAGTATTTCAAGCTTTTAGAGATGCTCATCTTGCGATCAAATTAAAAAAATGTTATTTCTGCTAACTTTCTCTGGCATTCTTAGGACATATTGTAAGATAAGGAAGAATTTAACCTGATCCAGAGAAAATCAAGAAGATTGAAGAATTTTTAGAACCAAAAAGTTTAACTCAACTACATGTTGTATTGGGATTATTTAGTTACTACCAAAAATTTATTAAAGATTTTGCACAATATGCCAAACTTTTAACATTATTACTAAAGAAAGATTAGCCCTTTGAATGGAAAAAAAAAACAACAACATGCCTTTGACTGACTAAAGGAAAGGCTTATCAAAGTACCAACCTTACAGTACCCAGACTTTAAAACACTTTTTATCTTATATATTGATACTTCAAAGAAAGGATTAGGTACTGTACTATCTCAAAGAAGAATGAAAAAGGATATATTATTGCATATACTAGTAGATTAACTAACAAAACTGAGGAAAATTATTCCATCACTAATTTAGAGTGTTTAGTAATTGTCTAGTCAATTAAGCATTTTTATCATTATCTTAGTTGACTATTCACTATTGTAACTGATCATGCTACTTTAAAATGGTTGAAAACTTCAAAAATGCTAAAAAGGAGACGTGCTAGATGAATTATGGAATTTCAACAACAACATTTCACTATAGAACATAGAGCAGAAAAACATAATGCAAATGCTGATACATTGTCTCGAATGTATGATAAAGAGACTATTAAATGTTTTATCATTAATCTTACTGAAACAGATATGGCTGATGATGAAGATGAAAATATCAGTATAAAAGGAGATATAGAATGGCATATTTTTTCCTCTAAATCTGGAGAAAGTGACAAATGGTTTGAAGAAGAATTGTCTCAACAATACTCTAATACTGTTTTAATTACTGTCATTGGATATAAATCTCCTAATGAGAAATTAGAAGAAATCTACCATGAAAATATAAAGATTAAACAAGTAATCATTAGACAACCCATCACTAGAGGAGAATCTCAATGTACTTATTCATGCGATACTAAAAACTATCATGTACATATATATTGTAAGGTATGTAAGAAAAATTTATTATATGGAACTATTATACATGACTGTATCATCAGGTATAGTTTAAGAAAAATCCAATCAGATATGAAACTAGAATATTAGATTAATAACCTCTGATAGGAAGAACCTCTCTTAGTATAATAAGAAAACCTTTGTGCTCAATTACACTTCCACCTTGGTAATATCAATAATTCACCTCTTTTCGCTTTTTATTAAACTAACAATCGATACATCACAAAAAGAATTAAGTGAAAGCAAAAGTATTTACAGTGTGATAAATAGCTTAAATTCTTAACCATAGAAGAATAACAATATAATCAACTATTTAATTATCTAATCAGCCAAACTTATCCTATTACCTTTAATTAAACACAACAACATAAATTAACTGTATTATCAAAACATTATATTACCAAACATAATTTATTATATAAAATCAACAAAAATAACCTTAGTAATCTAATTAGAGTATTTAAGAAAGTAGAATTAAAACCTGCCCTTTACATATTTCATAATAATCCAACTGCTGCTCATAGTTCAAAAGAAAAGATGATAGAGAAACTTAGAAAACATTTTTATTGGCCTCAAATATTTGAAGATATTAAAAACTATGTGTAATCATGTGACTCTTATTAGAAGAGAGGAAGAACCTTGAGAATAGAACCTTTATATCCTATACCTATTGGACAGCCTTTCTATTGCATTAGAATAGATTATGTTAGATCTTTACCAGTTTCAAGTAAAGGAAACAAGTATATAATCATTGCTATAGACTATTTAACTAAGTGGTCAAAAGCTAAGTCTGTAAGGCATAATGATGTTAAAACAACTGTACAATTCGTGTATAAAGATATAATTTGCTGATATGAATATTCTGGAAAAATATTTACCGATTGTGATACTCATTTCAACAATCAACAATTACATAAATTATTACAGAAATTTAAAATACCTTATAGAATATTGATGCCATATCATTCACAGACCAATGGATTAGTTGAAAGGTTCAACAGAAATTTAATAGAAGCACTTGCATAAACTGCTACCAATCACCAAAGGGATTGGAACTGTTTCATTGCCCCTACACTTTTTGCCTATCATATAAATAACATTCTGTTACAAAAATAACGCCCTTTTTCCTCATGCATGAACAAGAAGCTAAATTACTAATGGATAGTACAGAAATAGAGAAGGAATTCCTCTTACTTAACCATGTGAAAAAACAATTAGATCAGCTGCCAATTATTTGTAATACTGTTCAACAAAATTTGCAAAAAGAGCAACAAAAACAAAAGATCGACATGATGAAAAATTAAAGAAAATTGTGTCATACTAAATAGGTGATCAAGTTTTGTATTACAAAGTAATGTTAGATAAATAGTAGTCAGGAAAATTAGATCTAAAATAGAAAGGACCATACTATTTACATGACATAATTGGAAATGGAGCTTACAAGATTAGAAAATTAAACGGGAAAGTCTTAAAAACTCCTATAAATAGAAGTTTATTAAAATATATATAAATAGAGTAGTTATTGATTAAACTTCACCCTTTTTTCCCAAAACTCAAAAATGGAACTATATAATCAAATTTTAGCTGACTTACAACAAACTAAACCACTTTATCTAGATATTCTATCTCCTTTTTATTAGCACAATGATACTACTTTACAACAAGTAAAATCTCTACTTCAATAACTTAGAAGAGCAAAAAGCTTAAGAAATCGAATTAAAATATTAATAGTTCTTTAGCATAAGGGAAAAGCTATTGAAACTAAAACTGAATCACTGACTAAAAGAACTCAATGTATGAATCTCCTCTCACCATACTATAGAAAGTTATCGTATAAATATATTACCTATATGAATTAATTAGAATAGATCAAATTGCTTGAACTAAGCATATAACTATAGGAATGCTTTCTTATATTAATTGTGAACAACGTTAACAACTCGTACAAGTAGTTAGTATCATCACAAGAGCTCAGATATTGGAGGAGGAAGTTGTTAGTGATAATTCATTTGCATCACTAAATGACTGCGCTAACTAATATCACTAATGATCACTAGAAAAATCATGATCATCATTTTCATTGCTATCATGATTATCATTATGATATTTATTTTCTTTATTATTATGTTTATCATTATTTTATTTACTATATTTATTTTCATAGTTATATTTACTTTC